TCTTTCACCAGGTTAGGGAAGTTTTCCATCATTATTTCTTCAAACAGCTGTTCAACATCTTGATTTTCTTCAGTTATGCTGATCGAATGGATATTTGGACCCTTAACAATGTCCCATGTGCTCCTTAAATTACTTTTATAGTCTTGGCATCTCATCTCTTGCCATTCTGATTGTGTGTCCTTGGCTTTCCTGTCCTCTAGATAAGGCATTTGATCTTTTTCTTTATTCACTTTGTTTATTCCTTTGTTTATTCCATTTAATATACTTCTCATCTTAGATAATGTGTTCCTCATTTCAGACTCGTTCCCTTTTATAATTTCCATTTCCATTTTTATGATTTTGATCTCTTTGTTGAAGTTCTCACTGAATTTATCTATACTTCCCATAAGTTCATTGAGCATCTTTATAAACAGTGTTTTGAACTCTGCATCTGTTAGATTACTTGACTCCATTATACCTGGATCTCTGTTCTTCTCTGTCATATGGTTTCTGCTTCTTCGTCTTCCAATTTTGGCTGCCTTTCCGTGTCTGTTTCTATGTACTAAGCAAAGCACCTAAGTCTCCAAGTCTTATTAGTGTGGATTTGTGAAGTAGCTGTCCAATGGCACAGTCCTGAGAGGGGTACAGCTACAGGCCAAATTTAACCCAAGCCTCTTCCCCTCCGGGACCACCTGTTAAGATTCAGCAAGCAATCCACAGATGCTGTGCTTACAGTTGCCTCAAAAGGCCATGCTGGAAACCGAGGCCAGCTGCCTCCAGTATGAATCTAGGCACTGCTCAGCAAGGAGCATCTGACTTGCTGAGGATACACCTGGATGTGGCTTGGGTGGGGCCACGAGTTGGGAGAGGCGGGGTTTCAGGGAATCCTCTGGGCAGAGCAACCTGTTACCCAGTTTGATGCTGCCACAGCTATGACGGTGTTGGGATGGGGAGGGCTCAACAGAGGAACAATGGATACTGCCAGCACTTCTGTACAGAGTGAGTCTTGCCTCAGCCCTCACTCTGACAATGTCTCCCTGTTAGTCCCTGGTACCCGCTGAGCACAGCCTAATCGGCACTGGTGCTCAGAGTGAGCAGGTCCATGACCGCGAAAATCCGTTTGTGGATGCGGCCCCTTTAAGAGGCTTCTGCGGATGCTGCTGCCACAGCCTCCGTCTCACTCAGCCACTCTGGACCGCGCAGCCCTGTGTCCCTGCCCCGCCCTACTTTCTGCCGTTGCAGGCTGCTTTCTTAGATTTCTCCCTAGTTGTATGGCTTGTTCATCAAGATCCCAGACGATTTTTCCTTGAGGCTGCTCCTTGTTTCTGTCACAACTTTGATTTGGTCGCCAGAGGGAATAAACAGAGCCTCTATCATCTACGCCTTTTTTTTCTCCCTGGGTACTATTTTTTTTTACTCTCGAACAATCTGATAGGTAGAAAATGGTGTCCCATTTTAATTATCACTTGTTTAATTCTAAGTGAGGCCAGGCATCTTTTTCATATTTTTATGTTACTTGGTGTGGACGCCATGCCTGACTGGCCCAAAGTCTGGCTGGGATCCAGGCCCGCGACTAGGAATAGGACCCCAGACTTAGAAAATATGTAAACATACTTCAGCTTATTGTATCACGCATGTGTGGCTGAATGCCACTTTTGTACTCTGCTATGTGAAGAGCCATGTGGTCCCTGGAGAAGAAGGGGAGCAGGATAAATGTGCACAAGACTGCGTGCCCCGTGCAATAGACTGCACTCCCCAATAGAACTGCACTTCCCAACAGAAGTGCGGTCCACACAATAAAGTTAGTGCCTGCCGTTTCATCCTCATGTCTGCCTCTTGTGCATTCTTCCAACTGGGCATCACATCTCAAAGCTTCTGGGTCAGCTCAGCAATACCCCTGACCCTGACCCTGACACTTGGTCTTTCTTCTTCAGGAAATTTTTCATGTTTTTTTATCTGCCATTCTACTGAGGTGTTTATCTTTTCCTTGATTTGTATAGCTCCTTATAAAGAAATGACTATCACATAGGTAGTAAAATTTTTTTCCAAATTTTCTTTTTTTAAAATTTATTTTTCAATTACAGTTATAGGTTAATCAGAACATAGTGATTAAACATTTACCTTAAAAATCTAGTATTTATCTGACAACATACATAGTAATTACATTACGATATTATTGACTGTATTCCTTATGCTGTATTTTACATCCCTGTGACTATTTATATAACTGATCATTTGTACTTCCCCTTTCATCTTTTTCACTCCTAAATTTTTCTTGGTTTATAAGCATTCTTGTCATAGGTTACATGCAATAATCAGGATAGAAACTTATTAGGTACATATTTTTAATGAATACATAATTATATGTTTAAATGCATTCAAAAATAGAAATATACGAAAATATTAGTTATTAGCTTTGGTGTGAGACTGCAGATCATTTTTTTCCTCTACTTTTCTATATTTTCCAAAGTATTGCTAATGAACACAGTATTGTTTTTAAGAGAAAAAACATTTTTTTAAGAGAACAAAAGAAAATAAGTCCTAGAAAATGATCTGAAAATTACATATAAGCAAAGGGGCTTAGGTTAATAATCCATCAGGAGTCATGGGAACAAAGTTAATACTGGCTGCTTCCTAAGGATTTGAAAGCAGCTTACCCACCAAGCTGTGATTAAGTAACTAAAACAAACAAACAAACAAAACAGATAAAAAAATAGGAAAAGAACTGAAAAAATTTTTGAATGCAGAACAGTTTAAATGGACCCAGCAGGCTACAGTTTCCAAAATTCTACAACATAGAGTACTTATAAATTATAATACACGTAAGTGTATTGCCAATTTCAACACGAATATTTCTCAAAATATGCATTTCCTCACCTGTGAGCTGTAAGACTTAAAAAACCTTCTCCTCAGGATGCTCCCACTTGGACATCGGAGAGCAACAGTAACTACCTGAGGAATAAAAATATTCAGATATGAATTCCAATCCACTGCTCTTTGCAATCTAAAATTACTACTCAAGTGAAACATCTGTAATTATAAAAGCTCATGTGGAGTTTTGTAGGAATTTAGCTCTGGTTATAGACCAACATAAAGATCCAGATAAAATTCACTCTAAACAGAAATAATTCTTCTGAAACTGAAAAACATCTTCCTACTAATTGAGATCAGTGACAGAGCCTTCCAGAGGGGGCACCAGAGACTAAACAACTGCCTAGTAACATGCAGATTGCAGCTGTGCTTCAAAAGTGACCTACTAAACCAAGATCCAGTGACACCTCATAGTATACAGCAAGAGAAACATTAGATTGGACATAAACAAAAAGCTACCCTGTTCACTTTATTACTGTAGGCTGTGCTCCATGCCTACATCACCTAAGCAAATGAGCCTAGAGTTGGTCCTGGTTACTGGGAGCTCTGAGACCTCTCCTGGGAGCAGTCCTGCTTTAATTGTGTTACATATTGAGTTTCCCCATAATATTTCCTTTGACAAAACAGCGAAACAGCTAAAAAGAACTTGCAAACTGCTAGTATGTTAAAAAAAAAAATTCCAAAAAGAAAAGATGATGAATTAGTCATTTATTCTGATGTTTACTATTTACCCGACAGGAAACCTTTTCTTATGGTTAACATTATCATAACTGTCCTGGGAGTTAATGCAGGCATTATATAGAAATGGTGGTTTCACAGCAGCGCCTACCCGCTTCAGGAAAGCCATGTTAGAAAATATTTCCATTCAAGTAGGTAAGGTATTTGATTCCCATCCAAATCAGCGCAGTGTTGAGCCCTGTTATTCTACTAAAGAAAAGTTTTATGATAAAACAAATCACAAAATAACTGAATCACAGACTAAAAGCCAATTTTGCTTATTTTTAGAAACAATAAAATGTAACTATTACAGTGAGATTTCATTCAAATTTTAATGATCTGATAGGATAATTAAAGCCAAATGCTGTGAGAGAAAATAGGGTTAAAATTTAGTGAATTAATGTTTTCCATTATAGTTAGATAAATACTTGAAAGAAATGAACTATCATTGTTTGAAATCTAGCAATTGTTCTGTTATTACAATTACTGTGACAACTGGTTGTTCAATCTTCCTAATACTGACAGTGTAGTGGAATAATGGGTAAAAGGCTTGAGAAACAACCCAAACTGGAAAGTAAATCATTGTCCCAAACATGTTAAATGACATCTAAATTAAAAGTGGCAGCAATAATTAAAATTTGGTCCTCAAGTACTCCTTAAGATGAAATAAGATAGCATACGATAATGAAAACAGTTGCTGTGGTGATATGGTACCATTATTTGATGATTTACAAAATTATTTTCAAATTATCTTAAATTATACAGTTATTGTCTTTTTTATTTAAAAGTAGAACAGCAACATATGAATATTCCCTTGTGAATTCAAGATCACCATGAGTTATTTCCTCCTCTCATTTTAAAAATCTTATATTATTTTAGAGCTCTATGGATAGTTGTAATATTAAATACATAACAGGCACTAAAAAATTAGGGTGTACTGCTAAAGAAAGATTTATGTTAATTATGTTTCAGATCCCTCCCTTCCTTATCAGAAATACACGTTAGTCATTAGTTTCCTCTTCTATTAGTCTGTGTTTAAATCCAAGCAGGCTTCTACTCTAATAGGAATTTTCTCACATGTACACACACACACACACACACACATACATACACACTCATAGTGAAAGCTTCATCTGGTTCCGTTAACCTTTAAAATGAATTTTAGTCCCTTCTCCTAGCATTACAGAATTATAAAAATGTCCCTTTATTCTGTGGGTAACACCATACATTTAATGGGCCTAACTTTAACAAAGAAATAGATAGTTTCTTGAAAATTATAATTTCTAGTATTCCTAAAAGTAAAATTATTTTATGTATGTACTCATAAAACAGTTATATAGCTTAGAGATCAAAATATATTTGTTTTGCTAGGGCAAACTTTATATATGATGATATGTAATGATTATAATACCAGAGCAAAATTTTTAAGTTGACAAAACAGGAAATAGCATTTTGCAGAAAGCCAGAAATGATATGATTACATAAGTTACAAAGACAAATATCCTGAAGTCTTGGGTAACCAGGTATATCTTGCATTCCCTACTCTAGGCATGTTGTCTTTACTTCGAAAATACTTTATTAAGGTGATAGCAGATGGATTGGAATGGCACGCTCCCCAAAATAGAATAATTTCTTTTCCTTGTTTTTAACTTTTATGATTATAATGATATTCCATGCTTACTATTTTCATTATTCTGAAAAACTGGCTATAATGAGGGGAAAATCCAGATAGAGAAGCGTCTAGAGAGACCAGACTAACTGCTCAGAAACAGCTGTTTAGATCAAGAGTATGATAACAAGATCTAAGTCAATGAGAACAGGGAACATTTATGAACAGTTAGTGGGAAATTAAGAATTTTTGCACTGGCTTCTTAGAAATTTATGAGCAGTAGCAACTGTACAGATGAAAAATGCCTTGCCTAATGATGACTGTGATAGAATGAAAATAGTCCAATATTTAGCATTTCTTCATTAATGTAGAATACACTGTAAAAGTATCATGTAGTATCAACTTATACATTAGTGGCATTCTTTATAAAATTGCACTATAAAAGTTGCTCGACCAATTGACACTATGTATATATTTATATATATATGGTGCATACATTTTACATGTGATTCTCAGATAACAGTTATTTATAATTATTTTTTACTGTATTAACCATAAACAGAGTAAAGAGGACGAAAACTCAGAGCAGGGATATGAAAATAGGGTTACAGTATTGCTTATAGAATAAATGAGGGAAGAGTACTGGCTACAGCCAGGAGATCTGGGTTCTCCCAGCAGGCACCTCGGACTCTTACCCTATGGCTTCAGCTTCAAGTGAGGAAATGGGATGAGAGAGTTGTTATTTAGGTTCATTCTGGTTCTAAAATTCCATTACTCTCACATACACTTTAATGAGTGTAACAACATATCACCTAACAAATATTGGAAAAGGATAGAGAAGAAATAAAACGGAATGACTATAAATGACGCTTACAAAGAGGGGAGCAGAAGTTTCTCAACCTTTTTAGTGTCACAGATCTGAGAGTCTGAAGAAAAACACCGTCCTTTTACATATAATCACTAAAAGGTACAGTTTCAAAGGATTCACTGACAATCTGATGTCTATAATCCATGCACCTTCAGTGACAAACTGCTATTTTGTAGGAATAATGTCATGTGTGTCAAAGCTAGAGTAAATTCATAAAAGGCATTCCCTGTCAAACCTGAGCTATATTTAATTACTCCTGTATTGTAAATGGTTGCCATGGATATCAACCCTGAGCTTGATGAGAAGTGAAAATGTAGAAAGATCAGGACAGATCTATATCATGGGCATGAATTTATCTGGTATAACAGGGAGAAATTTATCTGGTATACGGGGGAGAAACAAACAAAAGAAACCATTGTGTTTCTCATGGGAGTTCACTACCTGCATCATACATTTCATTATCTCTATTTCTATGTGACTTTCAGATTTTCCTGACATCCACAGTACTGGACTTAAATGTTACAAATGTGTTGACAATGGCTCAATGCAGAGTAGGGTTTCAGTCTAACTCTGCCCCCTAAACAGCAAACTACCCTTTAATTCAAATATCTACAGTATAGGTACATTCTTCATTTTCTCTTTTCTAAGAGAAAAACTAAAATTTGAAGTTATCTGCCTATTTTGATTCTATCTTAATAAGTACCTTATTTGCTGACTTGAATTTTGGAAAAGCCCATGTATCTTATCTCTGCCTGATGCAGCTGGAAGGCTGGAAGGTTCTAAGCTCTAAAAAACATACTCAGCAAACAGCAGGCTTCCAAAACAGGATGTGAGTTTAGGAGTTTGACATTACACCATATTCAAAACAAGACCTAATTATAGTGCAATTACTTAAGCACTTACACTATCTATACTTTCTAAACCCAAACTTAGATGAGCCCTACTTAACGTTAAAGGAAATATAAAATATATTTAATTTTCAAAGAAAAAAATCAGCTTACTTCTTCAGCTGTTTCAGGAGGTTCTTCAGGTAAATCTGGAACCTGAAGAAAAGTAAATATTAGTAACAGGAATGTAAACATTTCAAAGAAGAAAAAATAATCTCAATGAGAAAAGTTCCTTTCAATACAAAATTTAGACACATCTAAGTTTAATGAAATCTTCATTTCAGATACACTTATAAGAAGTTTACAATGAGAATAAGAGCTAAATTCATAAACATTTTTGGGTAAACAACTTTGTGCTAACAAAAGATCATAAGAACAGGATTTTCAATCTATACACACTTAAAGAATTCTGTTTTTATGAGGTTCCAAGATACTATATAAAAATATACTATTTTAAGGACAGAGGAAAATAAGACCCTACAATTACTTCGGTTCATACATATACACATTTTAAGTTGAATGTATATTTTTCTTCACTTGCTCTTCTAGAGGACTGGTTAGCAACCATTCACTTTGGTTGCTTGCATGATTTACTCAGTGCTTCCATATTTTTCTCTATCTATTAAAAAACCAGATGTTCAGACCATTTTCTTTCATTAAAACACTTGTCATATTTCAATTTCACCTCTAGGAACACTTTTTATTTTTTAATACCATAGACTCCACATTTTTTATCATTTTATCTGACAAACATTAATTGCATTTATTAAATAAACCATTTGTTCTCATTTGGTATCAAAGCATGTGATGGTCAACCGAAATTTACCATCAGCATGAGCTAATTTGTGCTCTTAACAAAAAACAAAGAATCTTGAATTTTTAATTAGTCCATACAGTTCATTAGATCTTTTTGAAATGTTAGAAATACTTCAGTGACCTGAGTCCCATCCTCAAGCTCCATTAAGGGACCAGGAACGCCTCAGACTAAGAAGCAATACATTTGAAACCACTCTCAGGGATTAGATAACCCACCAGCTTTTCCTAAGTCAGTAAAAACAGATTTCTTATTTCCAATCTTTGCCAGCTCCAAATTTAACTTAAGGATTAAAAATTTGAAAAGAAAGAAGGAATAATAAAAGCTGAGCACTGTTCCAAAGTAAGTGGTTGCTAACCCATTCCCTAGTAGGGCCACTGAAGAAAATGATACACTCGTGTTATTACCCACTCATTAAATATGGCTTCATCATGTCTTAGCTACCAAAAGGAATATTTCCTTGGTAAACATTGTTTTTCATTTCTACATAACCAAATTACTTCCTTAAAAAGAAAACTGAACCTAGTATCTAAACCTAGTATCATTTATCTTCATACCTTCTAAGTTTGATTCAGAACATTAATATTAAGCAGGAAAAGTGATTCTTAATTAAGTCTATCACTTCATAAGGTAGTGGGAAGACATCATCTGGATTAAAAGCCAGTCCTATTCTTCACTCAGTATACCACCTCACCCAGAGAACAATATTCCTACTGTACACTGATACAATGCAGTGAGTAGGCTTTGCATAACGAACCTCCTTCTGCATGCGCTGTTCAGCAAAAGAAACTTTGAAAAGGATTAGGCAAGTTCCGTCTCCTTGCTGCTTCTCTGTTTGATGTTTCAAAAGATGTCTGACTCTCGTTTTCAACCACCAAATCTTCATCACCCTGGTCAAAACCAGACAGTTTCTAAAGAGATGCTTTTATCAACTTTATTCACAGTGGTTATTTCTTTTACCTGATGGCATTTCAGCAAAAAAATATAATAGTCATTATTAGACCCAGAAAATTAAAGCATTATCTCCTTAGACAAGAAAACACGGAGCTTAACATCCTGTAGAAAATACCCTTATCTAGCTCTGAGGTTCCCTCTGATAGATACAAAACTGAGAGAGACCTTTCCATTTTAATTGACCCCCAAATTTTTCAGTAGGATGGAAAAAAAGAAAAAAATCTGGATATCTTTTCTTCTTTTCAGTAAAGAAAGCAAGGCAGTGCAAGGGATTATGCCTTAAAAGCCTATGAAAACAGAACATATATGTAAAAACATATGTCTATGTATATGACTGTGCAAAACTTCCATAACTGAATGCAGCCTTAGTATCTTGTTATATAGAAACATATTTTGGTTCTCAAATTTAAATTTGGGGCTTCCATTTGAATCGATCACTTTAGGAGGCAAAGGATTTTATTCCAGAAAGCATAAAGATTATTTTTATCAATATTATCTATTAAAACTTTTTCCTTAGCAAGATAATTCACTTCAGTGTCAAATTCTCAAATATATACTTATTAGTTCACTAATACCTTTCTTCCATATCTACTGACCTTGTAAAATTTCTCTTTATCAGACAAAAATGGCCACCATTTCGGTGGGCTGTTTTCCTCCTTCCTTTATCCTAAGAGAAGTTGGTGGAAGGAGCCTGGAGAATGGGAGCCAAGAGATCTTGATGCTGAACAATTAACTGACCGAATTTAGGCTGCCTCACTGCAAACTATGGGTTTGATCAGCTTCAGCTTATGGATACACTTTCTTTCATCTCTAACATTCCAATTCTCAAGTTTTGATGGCCCTAAGAGCCTTTATAACAACACCAATGGTCTACCCTGTCCCTGACTTTTTGCTACACCACCCGCCCCCACCACAGACATACACACTTATTATGTTAAAATACAAACTAATAGTGCCATGAAGACATAGCCTAATAGCACGGGGCAGAATGACTAATTCACATTGTGACCATTTCAGAAAGAGATGTGGCAGGCTGAAATCAGTGTTTAACACCACAAAATTGAACAGAAGACAAACTCAACTCAGAAATGAAATCAGTACATAGCAGTTGCATTTTACCTTCCCTGTCTTTCCCATTAATTTTATTACTCACCCTTGATTTTTACCATTATAAATGGAATAAAAATAGATTCTTCTTCACTTTAAGAATCCTGTTTACTTTTACTGAATCATTTTCTTTACAAGATAGTGAAAGGTGCACTGTAAACACAAGGCAAAAAAGTCTTTGGGACAGAAATGATCTTACACATAAAAGCTATTAAGTTTTATTCTAAAACTTAATTCCTTTATGAATATCCCTTTTCTCTGTAAGAAAACTTAAAATTGTGAACTCCCATGAGCAAATAACAGAATTCATACTCAATGCTAAAGGAAAAAAGAGCCAAAGTTAATTTGGCTATACAAAAACAGACCCAAGCAAAATGAGTATGTACGCTAAAGATCCTTGAAGAAAGATCTGAATTCCCTCATATAAAATACAATGATATAGTCAACAGTTTTCTTAAAGTTTACCTTATGTTAGAGCTTTTCAAGGCTTTAAGTTATATGCTCTTAGGCACCAAAAACCACACACAAATATACTGAATAAAAACTGATGTACAATCATTATTAATAAATAAAGATGCCTAAAAAAAGACTATTAACAGTTTAACATCATTTGCAATTTTAAAAAATCACTTTATATGTAAAAAGAAACTTAAATACTAACGGAATTCAAAATATAAAATGGAATATTTTCTAACCCCAAGTTTATGACCGTTGCTTAACTTCCAGGTTTCACCCATCATCTGATAAAAGCGCTCTTCCAGTTTTTTCAATTTCATTTCCTGGTGAGGTTTTAGAACATTCTCTATGTATCTGCTGGCCTGTTCAAAAAAATGAATTAGGTGTTTTTACTATAAATTAACATTCCTAAGGTTTTACATTGTCTATAAAGTTGTAAATAAGAACCAGGTAAGAAATTGTGTTTTCACACTAAATTTTGGCAAAAAAAAAGCAGCATCCTCCATTTTTGCATCAGTTTGTTAAAAATTTGTATTTATACCTAAGGTAAATGTTCTATACTTATGCTTTTAAGGCAGTCTGCTTTTATCACCTTTAATGTGTTTTCAGTGTAACAAAAACCGACTGGGGGCTAGGGATACAAAGATGCCTTCTCAGGAGCTTAAAGTTGGGGCGGTGTGTTTCAAGCCATAATGCCCAAGGCACCAACTCATTTGGAAGAGCATTAATTGAATAGCTCAATCATAGTAAAGTAGAAAATATTTTTGGAGCTATTTCAAAAGAAATGGAGATTCTGGTTTTAAGATGACAGAGTGAAATTTCTGCCTTCCTCCCTCTTGAAAATCACCCCAAAACAACCATGGAAACAAGAAATAGAAACCCAAATACCATCGCTGATAAAACAGAAATATTATAATCCTCAAACCACTATATCTGAGGGCAGGAGGAGGAATGGTAGCTGATGTAAGAGTGGGAAAGATGCAACCTAAGTGCTTGTAAAGGAGGATAACAGTGCTTGTAAAGGAGGCCAGTCCCCTCCACAGACCTGCAACAGCTCTGAAGAGACACCAGATACCATGGCAGTGACAGGGGGTAGGGTACAGAGCTAAAAACAGAGGGTGATGGGGGAAGCTTATGCATCCAGCAAGCAATGATGAATATGTAGTGAACCAGGGATGATGACGACTCCAATTTACATCTGAGGTTCTTAGGGAAAAGGGGGGGAAAAAGATAAAAGACCTATTAGATCCCCAGACCCACCCTACCATATATAGACAGGCACAGAAGGTTTATTCTTTGGGAATGTGAACCAGAGAGGCTGCAGAGTCACAGATCTGAGGTCTAGTGGAGGGCAGGAGTGCAAACTAAAACAGAATATGCACAGACTCCCCAGCTGTCTTCCTACCTGACTCAGACTGCTGGTAGCCAGGCTCCTTCTCTAAAGAAAGTGAACTGCAAGAGGAACACAGAGATACTGACAAAGCTAGATTACTCCTCAGTCACCCTTACCATTAAATTGGTGTGTACCCTACACCAACAGACAACACTTCAAGCTCTGCTCACATACACAGAAATTCCAATTTAGCTTTATTTTCCATTTCCGCTGAAGTATAACTTATAAACAGTAAAGAACACAAAACTCGAAATTTTACAAATGCATATACCATCAGTTAGCTTCTTAGTGCATCATTCTTAAATCTGAAAGGACAGAGCCAAGGACTACCAGATGATTCAGGAAAGCCTCCAACATAAAAAATGGAGACAAAAATTAACGAACAGAAAAAAGGGAACTTGAAAAGCTGCACTGGAATTTTGAGAATAATGGTGTAATACTTCAAAATTCCAATGATTTTCAACCTGTAATTCAATACAAAATCAAACTATCAATCAAGTGTCAGAAGACAAAGATCATTTTTTAAATGCAAAGACTCAAAAATTTTATGTATCATCGGACACATGTCTGCACAGACCAGGCACTTCACCATGCACAAAGACTATATTGTGACATTGATTTATTGATTTTCCTTTGTCTAAAGAGAAAAGACAGAGTTAATAAAGTTTTTTGACTTTTGCCAAACAAAAGAATCCCAACTTTACATACTCTTAGGAATTACATATGCCAGTTAGTATACAATTAGCATATAGATGGAATTATAGTTTACTAATAATCATGCAAGGCTTTAAAATTAACAGTTACTTCCACAAAAGATAACATTAAATTTGAGGAGTTCAAATAATTACAAGAGATCTTCTTAAAAATCTTGCAAGGATACTTTCATTGTTATTAAATTCAGATCAGGTAGTTAGAAATGTAGTACACCCCCTGCCCCCCAAATATGTAGGCTTTTACTTTTGTGATTTGCTTTCAGCCTTCACTTGATTACTTAAAAAGGAATAATTGATTTGCCAGAAAAATGAGTGATTGATGTCAAAAATTAATCCCATGTATTAAGGCCTTTGTAAAGGGTTTATGTTTTTAACATTTAGGTGGAAGTCCACAGGAATCTCCTCTTTCACAAAGGTCAGTCATCAATGTGGCAACTGCCCAAGTACTACCTGACAATTCAAGGTCAAGAAAATAACTTAGACAATCATCCATGGTAAAAGCAATTTTTAGCTATCAAAACCTATCTCGGATAAGATGTAGCAAAAGCAGTGCTCAGAGGGAAAGTTATAGCTGAAAACATCTAAGTAAAGAAGAAAGATCTCAAATCAAGAAGTTAATTACATATTTTATAAAACTAAAAAAAGAACAAACTAAACCCTAAGCTAGCATAAGGAAGCAAATAATAAAGATTACAGAAGAGATAAAAATATAGAGGATAGCATAGAAAAACAATATAACCAACAAAACTGAAAATGGATTATTTGAAAAGATCAAGTTCTTTAACTTGACTAAGAAAAAGAGAAGACAACTAATATCAGAAATGAATGTGGGGCTATGACCACCGACCTTACAGAAATAAAAAGGATTAAAAGAGAATACTATGTACAATAGTATGCCATCAAATTAGATAACCAAGATGAAATGGACAAGTTTCTAGAAACACACAAATGATCTAAAGTGACTCAAGAAGACATAGGAAATCTTAACAGAACTAACAAGAGATTGAATCATTAATTAAAAGCCAACAAAGTCCAGGACCAAATGGATTCATTGGTGAATTCTATCAAACCTTTAAAGAAGAGTTAACACTAGCAGCACTATTCACAATAGCCAAAAGGTGGAAACAACATAAATGTCCATCAGCAAATGAAAGGATAATCAAAATTTGGTATATCCATACAATGGAATATTATTCAGCCATAAAAATGGATAAAGTACTGACACATGCTATATGGATGAACCTCAGAAATCGTTATGCTAAGTGAAAGAAGCCAGAGATAAGACATCATGTTATAGGATAACATTTATATGAAACGTCCAGAATAGATAAACCATAAACAGAAAACAGATTGGTAGTTACCAGAGGATGGAAGCGGGCTTAGCGGGATGAGGAAGGAACTGTTTAATGGGTATGAGGTTTTCTTTTTGGGGTGAAGAAAATGTTTTGGAGCTAGAGAGAGGTACTGGTTGCACAAAATTATTAATGTGCTAAATGCCACTGAATTGTACACTTTAAAATGGTTAATTTTTATATCATATGAATTTGAGCTCAACAATAAAAAAAAAAATCTGAGCACACAGAAAGCAACAGACCTAAATTTAAAAGCCCCAGATATTTTTGTATTCTTTCTAGATATACTCTCTAAAAATTATGCTTTACCTTTTCACCCTGTGCCTCTTGTTGTTTTTTTCTCACAAGTTTTTGCCTTTTCTCATTCTTCTCTTCTTCTTCTAAGACATCGAAACATAAAAGTAAAATCAGTATGAAAAGATCTATTCTGAAAAAAAAGTCCTCTGATAATGTATTAATACTGTATGTTATAGTTTTGGTGAGGCGGCTTCAAGAATGCTTATGGTTGGGTTTTTTCTACAGGCCCCCAATAGGGCTTCAACAACTCCACGATGTAGCACGGAAACCCATTACACACATGAAGTGTGGAATACTGCACACACTGCAGGCAGGAGGAGTGCCATTTGGTCACCCTTGGACATGACAGTAAAAGCAACATGCCTAGATCCCAAAGGTGGCAATGCTTGGCAATGCCTATAGTGACTAAACCAGTATTAGGTTATAATCCACTGAATGTCAAAAGGAAGGATTTCTGCATGTGTACCTTTTTTATTCTAGGTGTAAATTTCATTTAAGTTAATTATATTTCATTATTCTCTTGAGGAATCTTTTAGGAAAATATATCCTTTAAGCTGCCTGGCTCCTTAAAGAGGAGGCTTCCTTTCTCTCAACAGTTTTATCTCTATGTCAGTAAATATTTCATCAAGTTTAAAAAATTTGGACAGTAAACCACAGAGGAAATCAGAAGGTCCAGTTCGGCCACTAACTTCCTATGTGATCAGTCAGACTTTTGGTCTTAAGACCCCTTCCAAACTGAGTCAAAGAATATAGTTTTCAAACAAATCAATAGCAGGGGAGGAAGGGGCTTTAATCCTTAAAGCCACTGAGAACTGACTACTTCTGAACTTTTGATATACTTCATCTTGCAAACCTTTATAAAATAAGGAAGATTAAAAAGTTCTGGATAAATCTGGAGTCTGATATCTCAATATCTGATAACAGAGAAAATGGCAAGTGTGTGAGCGAGCCAGTTTTTTACTCATTTGAAGAAAAATCTGACAATAATTAGGCACTATACAGTCTTAATTACTTATTAGTTTTAGTCTTCCATGATTTATGCTTCAAAATTACAACGCATAAATAAATGTACCAAAGTGACTCACAGTCCAAAAACATACAGGTGCAACTTAAGATTAAGAAACTGTCAGGTACATGTTTCCTTTATTTATAATACATAGACTACTTGACCTGATAGTTTAATGTATGCAGCAAATATCCTCTTATATCAAAATGTAGTCAATACAAAGTTACTAAGAGAAGTTACAATGAGTAATTTTAATTTTCCAGCTGAGTAATTTGAAGTATGAGAGATCAAATAATTTACCAAAAGAAAAAAATTCCAAAATCTATAATTGGGAAATCCTGAAATATCCACGTTGTCTTTTAAATTTTAGTTGAATAGTATAACCTTTTAGGATTATGGTTTTATTCATAGTTAGTTTGAAAGGGCTATAAATTGACATCGGTCATTTTCCTTTTATTTGTTTACATTTAAATAGCAAAATAAAACATAATGCCCAGGATTTACTATTGGCAAGTTTCTTTTCTAATAGGATGTAAGAATGTAGGCATTAGTTTTAGGATTCATCTGAGGCAAATTACAATAGTACAATGTGGTTTTAAAAGGCTTCTAACACAAACTTTCACTTATCAAAAAAAGAAAAAAGAAAACTAAGAACAAGCATGGTTTCCTAAAATTAAGAGCACCTAACTATACATAAGAGATAAGTGCATAAATAAAAACTGCCAGCATGTAATGAAAAATAGGGTGAAAAGCCTTAAGAGATTAATGGTGGATACATTTACCATTTATAGAATAGTTTATAGCTATATGTAATCAAACAGCAGTTAAACTGCATAAACACAATTTAAAATTAGAGAATTTGCAAAGTATTAACTTAGAAATGATATAGTTTCAAATGTATATGTAAGGAAAATGTATGATTTCTTATAAATAAAAATGTTGAGATGTATGATCCATTCAAAATCATGACTGGAGTTGTTCCATAGTGTAGTGGTTAGCACGTCTGCTTTACACGCAGAAGGTCCTGGGTTCACACCCCAATGGAGCCACGGTCCATGGTCTACGGCCATGCCAAGCCTGAACAAGCCCGATCCCATTTGATCTCAGAAAGTAAGCAGGGTCAGGACTGGTTAGTACTTGGATGGGAGACCACCTCGGAAGACCAGGTGCTGTAGGCATAAATAATAATAAAAAATTTTTAAAAATCATGATCAAAGTTTTTTGTTTTTTTTTTTTAAAAAGGCGAGGCAACCCTTCGTTGACCTCACAGATTGCAAGGACCTTGCCAGTTTACAATCCCTTAATTTTTATGCCTAAGCAATGACCAAAGTTGTAATGATTACCTTGAAAATACACTGTACAAATTAATGGTAAAATGGTTCTTATTAACGCAGGGTTCTCGAATAAAGGAAACAAATTTTAGTAGTAAAGTATAAAAGTGTATAAAAACAATAAACTTACCTTTCAGATAAACTTGGGAAGATTTAAATGAGGTAAGCCATGAGGTAGTCACAGAAATAATTAAAGTAAGAAGAGCAAGCAGTAAGAGAATTCGGCCACACAGCAAAATTATATCTTTAATTCCTTATAAAAGTAAAAAAAAAAAAAATTAAAATTGAAAATACTTTTCTTGATACTAATAACAACACATTAGAAGATTATTTGTAATGGAAAAGTATAATAAAAGTTATGCAATTGTCTTATATTATTTTATATAGTCCCCTTTGAGTGCCACAATTTTTCATGGTTATTAACAGAACAAGTTTGCAGAAAACAATTCTAGAACATCTTCTACCTCAGGAATATAGGTATAATCCAAGTGACTGGTGACATTATAAATATTATGACTATCACTGATATGTAATACCAGTTTCCTTTCTGCTCAGAGGAGATAAAATTATCCACATACTTAGGAATTAAATCATGGTGATAATCTAGTTCTGTTTAAAAACAATCATTCCCACTGAAATACTAAATTCTTATTTCTCGCAGTTAAATTATGAAACTGCTTTATTTCTCAATATTTATTTGGTCATTTGTAAATAAAATTACTATATACATGTTTGCCTAGAAAAAGGTAAAAATTCAGTATTTGGCTTTATATTTTAAGAACCAAGATGAAAATTAAATCAGCAAAAAAACGTAACAAGTGCCTACTTTGTGTAATATAATTTGCTAAATGGTGAAGGAATGGAGATATAAAGTTGGGTTAAAAATGGTTTAAAAAAAATGGTTTCAATTGTTCCTTCCCCACCCCAGGAAGTTTTAGTTTTCTTTTGTAAATCTCAAAAATTGCCAGACGGAAATACAGAGGAACCATTTTACTAATGTGATGGCATTGGTAGCCTATTAACCAAAAAATTAAAGAGAGAATTATATATACAGACATATTTATATTTATAGATTTTTTTGCATCACAGCCCGTCCAACTGTTGTTTCAGGTGTTGTTCAATATAACATAATTAAATCTGGAGTAACTCTGGCCATTACGAAAGTAATTTAATACCTAGAGTAACGGTATTTAGAGAAACCACTGAGTTATGGGATTTATATTCCATAATATTGCTTTTTGTTCTAGTAATCAAGCAATTTGCAAATGTCATATGGGAATATAATAGAACTAGATTTGTGTGTGGATCTTTCAAGTAAAAAAAATTTAAGTTGATTTTTTTTTGGTACCTACACGCAAGAGCCCATGTGCAGGACACTTCAAAGGATAACACATGTGAGGAACCAGCAGCAAAATATTTAGCTTAAGTACAAGTAAATATGTACTGGCAATGAAGACTTTGACACAGTAGAAAAGGACAGGGATAGTTTTTCAATGTATGTCCAAAAATATAGCCCAGGTGAATGAACAGGTATGGGAATTCTACTCCCCACCACCCCTGGAATTCAATTAGGAGCTCCAACTAAGAGTATTAACATCTGTAACTACTGTTCCACATATAACTAGCTCTATAGCTGTTGAACTGGGATATATGATTGGTAAATAGACTTAAATACTGTTACTAGATAATTGTAGAACCATTATCAAGAAACCATAGTAAACAACCATCATTTCAAAACAGAGGATTCTAGGAGAAAGAAGTTAATTAAGTAAAAATTTCAGGAACTAGATGGAGATGCTGCCAGGAGCCCAGTTGTGTTTTCTAGAATTTTTCGCTTACTTTTATTAAATTGCATATTTTGATTAGTGCCGGGAATACAAAAACAAATTAGATATGGTCTCTGCCCTCAAGAAGTGTTATTTCTCTGTCGTCAGAGCTGATCATGTAAACAGATCTCCTTCTGCAATCCTCAGTAATCACCTTCTCATTGACTGAGTGAACAAATGTTAGTGCAAAGGAGAAGATTCCAAATGAGCATAGTAGAGATGGATGCTGGAAAGGGATCAGGTGACTTCTTTAATAGGTAAGTGTGAATTTAACGTTTGTGTCATTTGGATAAAAGGTCTTGTTAGATTTCAACACATCTTGAATTGAATCAGAGGCTTTGGGAGGGTCTTTGTATAATTTGTTAAAGCATTTTAATTTCTTATTTCAAGCAAAATTCTGGGTACCTGACTTCTCAGGGGTGGCAAGGGAGGATTAAGAGAGAGAAAATATTAAAGCTAAGTTTCATCATGCTCTCTAACTTCAAAACTGAGTTTAATGAGGGAGATAGATATGTAATCTGATCACTTATATGTCCAAAAATGAACTGATTCTCCACAGGTCCACCATTTTCTTTTCAGTTTTCCCTTTATCGTTGGCACTACCAGCTACTTGGGGTTATTCTATCCTCCACGTAGGAGTCTTCTTTAAATCCCTCTATTCCCTCACCCCAATTATCAAATCTTGTTGATTCTACTTTGTAAATATCCCAAATCTGTGCACATTTCAGGTTATCATCCTAGTCCATGCCATCATCACTGCTAGCCCACTGCAAAAACCTAACCCGTCCCACTGCTTCCACTATAGCTTCCTTTTCTAAACATTTTCCACACTGAATCCAGTGACTTTTTAAAAAACGTTTAGTCAGTTAACCTCCCTACATCAGTTTCAAGTGTCCCCACCGCCTACAATTGTAATGCAGATTAGATCATTATAAACAGCATTTAGTGTCAGGCTTATGATAGATAGATATTCAATTAATGTTATTGCTGTGACGCGAATGATTCTGAGACCCACGGAGCCAATTGAGATTAATTATGAGCCTTCATTAGCCGGCCGGGGACTGACTCTCTACCACGCAGGGTTAGAGGAGATCAGCCCCGAGCTTCTAGAGGAGGCAGCTTATAAAGCCTCCTACTACATCCTTGAATAAACAGATTACAAGAAGCAGAAGTTAGCCATTAACGTTTTGTACAAAGATAAATGTATCCGGGGAACTCTCAGATCAAACAGGGCCTAGTAGACAGTTTTATTATCTTCACCTTGGAATGTTGCACTTCTCCTGGGGCTGGCGCCTGGAGATATCACCTCCCTGTGACTGAGTTACTGCTTGCACCTGGAGATACTGCCTCTCTGAAACTGGAGAATTTCCACTTTTACATTATCTCGAGCCATTATACCCCTTAATCTCCCTAATCCAGCCACAGCGGTCGTCATCCTCTTCCTCCAACATGTCAAAATTCCTAATGTCTGTAATGTTTTTGCCCGGCTTTGAAAAGGGCTGGATCCTTGTTTAAAATCTGTTTAGATTCTTCAGAAGGCCTCCATTATATCGCCCTCTTTATTTCCTTTTGCGCATTCAACACAATTTGAAAGTAGTGTCTGTGTTTGTTCCTGTGCTTTCTGTGTCGGTCCCCTTACACACAAAACTTCACCAGATCCGCAAGGACGTTTTTTCCGCTAAGTGCAGTCGGGTACCCCAAGGCGACGGGACACTTGCGACTGAACGGCCCTGCGCCTGAAGAGGGAGGCAGGCGCGATGCAGCCTGGGAGTCGTAGTCAAAGCCGGCCAGTGGCGGCGCGGCTGCGAGACGGTAATTCTACGCAACATCCCTGGGAAAATCGCCCCGTGTGAGCGCCAAGAGGAAGAAGTGAACGCTTACCTAGATCCGGGATCCCACGCCGGAGCTCCAGACACAAGAGGGGAAGAGCAGAGAGGAGAAAAATGCCAACGACTCCACGAGATGCCATTGTGGCAGAAGTACCGCCGCTTCCGGTGTTGCCTCCCCTGGGAAGGTCTAGAGCGGAACCGTTCCGTGAGGGCGGGATTTTGGGAGAGGACTAGAGTCTAGGTCCCTGTCGTTGATCAGATTGAGATAAGCCTGAGTTTTTGAACTCATAATCTGTAGCTTCATATGAGAAGAAATACAAGTTGCCGCCCCACGTCACATGATGTCCGTGGGAAATGGCCCCACTGGCTGCCCGCCGAGCCAAGTCCTATGGAAGAAAAGCTTGAGCTCTAGCGTGGCGGCTCCTTGGAGCTGAGGCCGGCAGCGCCTGCCCTTCGGCGGTCAGACTCTGTGCAAGCTGTGAAAACGCTCTCAACAGTAAAATGAACTGGAGGAGAAAGTGTACGGGCAGTTGATGCTGTTAGAGGCAGCCTGGCTCCTTGACCTTGTGTCTTTAGTGGATGACTGTGGTTTTCTGGGTCAGAGCTACTAAGCACTACTCTTATGAAGCACCTTTTTTTTTTTTTTAAATCTCTAACGGTTTCTGACTCCTTGTGGTCTGGTGCCACGGGAAGACGATTCAAAAGTGAGGCCGGGCACCTAATTTCATAACCTGGAGACCCGCTAACCCTTGTTCAGCTCCTTAGTTTTGCCAACAGGTTATTGTTAATGACTGAACTTGGCCGCACAGTTCTATGACCTCATTGCCATCCCATGACTCACCTCTGTGGCGCTTCTGACAACCTGCGACTCAGTTAAGTTATGAAGGGCCTCACAACTTAAAAATTTTCATGTTCTGAAATTTCATTTTCTGACCCATCCATCAATCCTTCCACCTCATCCTTCAATTTAATTTAGTTCAGCTAACATTAATTGAATCGCACAATTTGCCTAATACTCTAGAACGCCTGGAGATTCAAATATGTGTAAGTTACTGAGTTTGTCCTCAAGAAACTCAGTTTAGTGGGAATGATACCCCTGTAAACCTAAATATGGTGCCTGAGCACTGTAATAGAGATACCCCAGGGTGCTACCCGTCACCAAACCCTACCCCGAGAGATTTGGGCTTTCCTAAAAGAAATCACCTAAATTGTGTTGTAAAGATTAGGAAAGGGGAAGAGTGGGAGGACAAAAGAGAGAATGGAAGTTCCAAGTTTAGAAAACTGTATGCAGACTTTAACAGCAGTTAAAATATTGCAGTTTAAAGACTGGATGGGCATACACATAGGTAGGTTGTGGCTGGGTCCACAGAAAGAACTTCATCTGGAATTGAAGGTACAAAATCTGAGAACACAATCTGAAAACTAAGGTGAGGTAATATAAATTATAACATGACATACCAATTTAGTAATTATATCATTCAGAGGTTCTCATTTGTTGTCTGCATGAAGACAGGAAAGAAAGGAAGTTCTAAAGCTCTTAATATCTTCATTTTGATGTGATTTACTTCTTTGGGTATTTTTTTTTCCCCTTTGGCTTCCTATGTTCTTAATATAATCTATAGATGGCTCTGTCAGGACAATAAAGTGGGCACTCCTGAGTATTTCTGATTTGCTTGGGGTCTTAGCCATTTCCCAAACTTCGTTGATTGTAAAGTTTCTTCACTGCGATTGTCTAAGGCTCACTCCCCCTAAAATACCACCAGAATAACTTGTTCTAGTAAAACCAAGTGTCTCCCTTACTACATTAAGGGAGAACACTATTTTGACATAATTTTAGTAGCGTCTCAGAGGGGAAGTCAAGAGTGCTTTTTATAGGGCTTTTAGAGTTTAAGTTTGAATAGTTTAAGGTGGCCTTTTAAATGTGGGTATCTCATTGGGATTGGACATAGTGTATAGAATAATACTATCCTCATAAGACCATCCAAACCTTTAGAGAATTTTTATAAGATTTAATTTGAGCCAAACTGATGACATGCAGGGAAGCAAGATCTCAAAATGCTTCTGAGAATCACAGTTTGGCAGTTCTTTTTAACCATTTGGAATTAAGGTGAAAGAAAGTAAGCCTGAGAAATCTCTATAATTGGATTATAGTAGAGTTAACAAAATTATGTGCTCCCTGGAGGGTGGTTACACCTCCGCCTGGGAGGGACTGAAAAAGAGAATGGCTCTGGCATTCCAAAAGTGTGTTAACCTAGGTTCAATAGAACACTAGACAGGGCTTGCTTAAAAGCAAAGATAAACCTACTAAAGAAGTTATAGGCCTTGGGTGTGACCATCTACCATTACCTGCCCAGTTAGGAATTTGTGATCAGATCACCCTGTGAGGTTACTTTCTGTCACTGAACTTGTCACATTTATTATGGAGCCCCTTTTTTGTTCACAGCAGTTAGGAATAAGGTCAGAGATTCTTCCTGAGTCTTCTTTTGTCTTAATAATAACCAGCTTAATATCTCAATAAAAGCATATTTTGGGTGGCAGATTCTGCTCCCCCACAGTTGCTATGAACATTTATTTGTAAGTTCTAGGTGAACTTAAGTTTTCATTTTTGTGGGACAAATGCCCAAGAGCGCAATTTTGGGGTCATATGGTAAACACATGTTTAGCTTTGGGAGAAAATGCCATATTTATTTTTCAAAGTGTCTGCATCATCTTCCTACTAGCAATGTATGAGTGGTTCAATTTCTCCACATCCTTTTTCACATTTGGTATTGTCACTGTATTTTATTTTAGTTATCCTGGTAGATGTGCAGTTATTTCTCATAGTAGCTTTCTATTTCCCTGATGACTAATGATACTGATGACATTTTTTGTATACTTATTGGCCATTCATTTATCTTCCATTTGAAGTATCTGTTCAAATCTTTTTAACTGCTATTTCTCTTCTGTGTTAATGAAGCGTAGGGGTTCTTTATATAACCTGAATGCCAGTCAGATATCAGTTTTGTGAATATTTCTCTCAGCCTGTAGCTTACCAATTTATTTTCCTAATGATGGTTTTTTTGATGAGAGGTCTTAAAATTTTGAAGACCAATTTATCAAAGAGTCTTTTATTGATTATTGCTTTCTGTGTTCCATCTGAGAAAGCTTTGCCTATCCTGAAATTGAAGGATTCTTATGTGTTTTCTTCTAAAAGTTTATGTTTTAGCTTTTATATTAGGTATATGAAATTATTTTTATAGTTTTCTTCTCCTAAATAATGAGAAAAGATCGCTGCTTTTGAAAGCTCTTCTTCTCTTAGGCTTTATTTCCAACAATTGAAAACTCAAATATTTTCACTCCACACTATGTTTTAGAGACATCTTGATGAACTCTATAAGAATTTTGATTAGAAGAATGTAACAGTGATCTGGTGGAAAATATTTCGTGGTGAATTTGTAGATTAATATTTTTATGTCCCTTATTAACTTGTATTTAAGCATCAATGTCCTTTAGTTTCCTATCTTTATCCAATGATCCATTGTAGTCAAAATATATGACCAAGAATATAATAACTATTTAAAACTGTAAACTGGTCTAAATCTCCACAATGGCTTCAGCGTTCAGCAACCACAGTGATCTCTCCTTGCTCTGACTTCCTAGCACTCATTGCCTTTTCCATTCATTTGGAATGCCATATTATTCTTATATTATTTCAGTAATGTGTTCTATATTTTAAATTTTCTTTAGATGTAGCAGAGTATAAGTGGTAAACACATTTTTAGGACATTCAGTAGTGAACTTTTCACATGTATATGGACTTCTTTCCCAGAGATTCTGATTTAGGAGCTATTATCAATGCTTCACAGGTAAGTTTCATAAGCCATGCTTAGATACCATTGAGGAAGGGAGGGAGGATGAATTTAGGCAAGGGATGCTATTGTTATATGAGGAACTATGATTCAAATCTTATAGACTTGATTTATTCAATCAACAAATGTGAAGCAACTACCAAGCCCCACGTGCTGTTACAGATGCTGGAGACATGGCCACAAACACATCAGACAAGATTCTTGCTTGGTGTAGAGATTGTACTCTAGTGTATTATGGTTAATTTTATGTGTCAGCTTGGAGGGTGTTTTGTTCTGTAAACATTTATGGAAATAATACCACATATTTAAATGCAGAATAGTAACATTGTTATTTCTAAAGCTTTTTATGATCTTCTTCATCTTCTAATTGCAAAATACATGTAAAACAATTTGAGATCAAAAGGCCAAAGCTATTCAGCACATGTGTGATTTCCTGCTAGATGTGTCTTCTGAGATAGTGTCCAGTTTCCCAACAAAGCAGACTTGCTATTTTCCTCAGAAAGATTCCTTCTCCTTATCATAAAATTTGTTTTTTGTTAATCTTTCATTCAGTTATAGTTCTTGTTCTCTGTCTCTTCCATATTTATCTTTTGCCCCAATATTAAACACTGACGTTGTGTAACAGGGTAATATATATTTTCTTTCTTTCCTCATATTATTTTTATCCTCATAAATGACTGCAATTATCTTCCTATATGCTTCATGAGAAACACATTTCATTGAGCAACTTAAAATGTGCAAGTTTTTTTGTATACCACTGTTTCTTGTACAGATTTCTCAGATTGTTTATAGAAGTACAGTAGTCCCCCTTGTCCGTAATTTCATTTTCCACGGTTTCAATTACCTTTGGTGAACCTGCTGTCAACTACAGTCCAAAAATATTAATTGGAAAATTCCAGAAATAAACAATTCATAAGTTTTAAATTGCACACTGTTCTGAGCCTTCCTGTTTTATTCTGTAAAACTCAAATATTTTCACTCCACACTATGTTTTAGAGACATATGTTTGCTGAACGCTGAAGCCATTGTGGAGATTTAGACCAGTTTACAGTTTTAAATATTTTATTCTGTTTACAGGACATGAATCATCCCCTTTGTCCAATGGATCCACAATGTTAATTCTCCTCACCTGTTAGTCACTTAGTAGCCATCTTGGTTATTGGATTGACGGTTGAAGTCCTTATGTTCAAGTCACCCTTATAATAGCCTAATGCTATGTCACAGTGCCTTCAGCATCACTTCATCTCATCATGTAGGCATTTTAGCATTTCACATCATCACAAGAAGAGTGAGTATAGTACAATAAGATAATTCGAGACACTGCATTCACATAACTTTTATTACAGTGTATTATTACAATTGTTCTATTTTATTATTAGTTATTGTTGTTAATCTCTTATTGTGCCTAATTTATAAATTAAACTTTATCATAGTTATGTATGTATAGGAGAAAACATAGTATATATAGGGTTCAGTACTATCTTGGTTTCAGGCATCCACTGGGGGTCTTGGAATGTATCTCATACAGAATAAGGGGATGGGGGGACAGCAGTACCATTACTATCTTCCCTCTAACATAATAGCTCTTGACCTGTAACTTCAAGTAACCAAAGTTGTAACATAAATAAGGCACTATGAGTCATGAATACATTTCCTACAAATTATATAAAAAATGCAGAGGGAGAGATAGTTTACACTAAAAAAGAGTGATAATCAGCATTCTCCTACAAAAAAATGTATCATTTAAAAAAATCTTGGAATCTTGTATTTTTA